GCACGGTCGCCGATGCGCAGGACGTAGGTGCACGGACCAAAACCTCCGCCCCGCTGGCGTGCAGTGTACCACTCACGGAGCTGCTGAGGGGACAGGGTCTCACGACCGCGCTGCTGCTGCTGGCGCGGACCACCACCTGAGCCACTCCTCTGCGCAGAACCGCGACTTGCTCCACTGCCACCTCCGCCGCCTCCGCCACCGCCGCCGCCGCCGCCTCCGCCACCACCGCCGCCTCCGCTCCCTCCGCCACCACCGCCTCCGCCTCCGCCTCCAACGTGGCCACCGGCTCCCCCACCCCCGCCACCACTCCCACCACCACCCCCACTCCCTCCGCCGGCTCCAGCGCCGCCTCCACCGCCTCCGCCCGCTCCTCCAGCGCCCTTGCCCCCCTTGCCCTTGCCCATGTGGCGCTTCCTCGAAGGGGCAGACGCAGCACCGACCGACTCAAAACCAACGAGGCCGGCCGCAGCAGCAGAAGCAACAGAGGGCAAGAGGGGGGAGGGAGAACACCCCTCAAAGATGGGGGTGCGGGGGTCACCACGAGAGGCTCCTATAGCGACTATGCTCTTCTTTGCTGCTAGGAGGGCCTTCTCGAGGAGGTCAAGAGTGAGAGTGGTGGGACAGACTGAGAGGAAGTGGTCCCTAACTTCGCGAAGGGAGTCAGGGAGGCGGGTGATGATGTAGTAGAGCGTTATGTACATGGGGGGTGGGGGTGGGGTTCTTGGCGCAGAACTCAGCAGGAAACGTATCGCGGTAGCGAGTGTCACTAGTGCGGAGGTGCGTAATGAGGTCAGTGACTTTGGGAAAGGCAGCAAGGTCAGGAAAGAGGTACGGTAGCATGAGGCGGCTAAGTGCGGCAGTGGCAGGGGAGGAGTAGCGTGCAACTACAGCATCGTACAAGGTCTGAGCACTCTTGTACTGGCTAAATTGTGCACGCTCAGAGGTAGGTAGGTGGCGACGCACAGCAAGACGTGCAGCAGCATCGCGCGTGGCCCACTGTGAGCAAACAGTGGCGTCAGCATCAGTAGTAGGGGCAGGAGAAGCACCAGAGGAGAGACCGCGCGCAGGCCACGACGGGCAACGGGGGGCGACGCGCGGGTCCCCGTCGCCCGTCGCAGTGCCTCCCGGGAGCGACGCGCGGAGTGACGGGGCAGGAAGCCGCCGCGTGCCTTGAGGCACACAGCAGGCAGAAAACCGCTGCGCGCCTCGGGGCGCACGGCGGGCAGAAAACTGCCGCACCCTCCGAGCGTGCGGCGGGCTGAAAAATCCGTTGCATGCCACGGGGCGTGCAACACAGAGAGTAGCAGTAGCAACGGAAGGAGTGAGGTGGTGAGCCAACCCACAGGATCGACCCAAAGGGATCCCCTACTCTGATACCAGATCAAGTTTAAGGGGTAGAAGGCTAGAATGAAGAAAGAGGCGGTTCACTAGAAAGCAGCAGGATACATATAGGAAACCCTAAGGGGTTGTACTGGCTATAGAATATCCCACTGCAGGCTAGAGAACAATAACATTCTGACAGACCTAGCATCGTACAGCAGCGCTGATGATCACAAGGTGGAAGTGCCTTGGTAAAGATGTCAGCAGTGTTGGCCTCAGAGGCCACGTAAGCAAGGCGCAGCTGACCACGCTGCTGCAGCTCACGAGCAAGAAAGTAGCGAAGAGCAATGTGCTTCGTTTTGTGCTCCAGTCTGTGCTCCCGACACAAGGCCAGCATGGCCTTGTTGTCTACGTAAAGAACTGGAGGAGAACAAGGCGACTCTCCTAGGTCAGTCAGCAGGTAGGTGAGCCAGCGTAGCTCCTGTGCAGCCATGGCCCCCGCGTAGATCTGAGCCTCACAGCTAGAGCCGAGAACAGAAGACGAGCGGGTAGACCGCCACGAAACAGAGCCGGAACCAAGGCTGAAGGTGTAACCCTGTAACGACACCTGCGTAGCCTGGTCATCAGCCCAAGAGGCGTCTGCATGATCTGTAAGGACCACTGAACGCCGCCCTCCAAGCACTAGCCCCAAGCCCGACGTACTGCACAAGTAACGCAACACCCTCTTTGCTGCAGCCATGTGCTCCGGTCGGTGTCTCCCAGGAGCAACATAGCGTGCCAAGATGCTAAGAGGGTATGCAAGGTCAGGTCGTGTGTAGGTCATCAGGTACATGAGGCAGCCAACAAGCTCTGGGTACGGGCCACTCGGCTCTAGGGACTCATCCGAAGGCAGAGCTGAGAGCGAGTGGCAAGTAGACAGAGGAGTGGCTTGAGGCGAGGAGTACGTGAAGTTGAAGCGCTGAAGGACCTGCTGCACCATGTGTGACTGAGTCAGGGTAATGGTGCGCTGTGCTCTGTCCCGGGTGATCTGCAAGCCAAGGTAGCTGCGCAGTTCACCCAGGTCTGTGCACGTGTGTCTCTTCTGCAGCTCGGACTTCACGTGGGCGAGTCCAGCAGTGTTAGCAGTTGCAAAGACCAAGTCGTCGACGTACAAGAGGATGTAGAACAGCGGCAGAGAGGTGTCGGAGTGCAGAAACAGTGACGGGTCGGCAGTGGAAGGAGCAAACCCAAGAGCCGCAAGTGTAGTCCTCAATGTGTCGTGCCACTCATGGGGCTCCTGGCGGAGACCGTAGACTGGCCACCGGAGGCTCCACTGGGTACCAGGAGGAAACGACCCAGTGAATCCAGGTGGGCGACGTAGCCAGATCTCCGCATCCATGCTTCCCTGCAAGAAAGTTGTGCTGAAGTCAAGAGAGTGAAGCTCGTAGTCGCGCTGAGCGGGTATGTGCAGCAGTACCCGAAGAGTGGTCATCTTCGAGGTGGGAGAGAAGGTCTGAAAGTAGTCAACTCCCTGCTGCTGACTAAAGCCTCGAGCCACGTAACGCGCCTTGAAGAGAGGCGGAGAACCCGGCGGCCGCTTCACCCTAAAAATCCACATGCCACTGACGATGTTCGCCCCACGAGGGGGAACCTCGTCGACGTAGGTGCCTGTGGACTTCCAGGAAGCCATCTCTGCGTCCATGGCTGACTGCCACTGAGAGGAGTAGGGACCCTCGATCGCCTCAGCGTACGATCGAGGAGTCGGGATGTCTGGTGCATCCGGGTCTCCCTCAGGGGCAATCAGCATGGACACGAGATGAGGCAAAGCAGCAGCAAAACACTAGAACTCCTCCTGCCTGTCCTCAAGGACGTATGTGCTAAGAGCACACTCACCCCCGACGGACGGAGGACAGACAGACTCAGACTCGGCGACAAGACTAGCAGCGTAGTTTAGACGATAGTGAGCAGCAAAGTCGACAAGCTCAGAAACTAAGGCAGACGCAGGAGTGGACTCAAAGGAAGGGTCAGTGACAACAGTAGCCAGGAGACGCGTGACAGTAGGCCTGGCAGCACGAAGAGAGTCAGACTCCGGGTTAGGAAGAGCAGGAAGAGAGGACTCTGGAGGAGACAGGAAAGGGACACGCTGCGGAGCAGTGGAAGGTCGTAGTGCCATCTGGTGCGTGCTCGGGACTGCAGGAGGACGCGTATGCGGAACACGACGACTAGGACGAACAGGCGACGCAGGACGAGACGCAGGCGCACGACGCTCAGCAAGACCTCCAGTAGGACCAGTGTAGGGAGAAGGAGCAGGCAGCGGTGAGGCGGGCTGTAACTGTGAATGCGACTGGAGAGGCTGTGGATACTCTACGGGAGGAGGACCAGTAGAAGACGGGAGACCAAGAACCTACTCAAGGAGCGGAACGAAGTACGGCCGCGGCCGCGCAGCGCCTCCAGAAACAGCAGGGACAGCACCAGTACCCCCAGCGGGAGCACCAGCGCCAGCAGCACCTCCAGCTCCAGCAGAGCCAACTCCAGCACCCTCAGAAGCACCCGCCCCAGTAGCACCTCCAGCACCAGCACCCCCAGCAGCTCCAATACCCCCAGTAGCACCAGCAGCTCCAGTACCCCCAGCAGCACCCCCAGTCCCAGCAGCTCCAGTACCGCCAGTACCAGCCCCTCCAGGACCAGTGGCTCCAGCATCTCAAGCGCTGACCGCAGGGTCAGCAGCAACAGCAGCACCTCCAGCTCCAGCAGCACGACTCCAGTGCCTGGCAAACCACTCACGCAGCTCCTGTAGAGAGGGCAGCTCCCGCCGAGACGAAGTACCCGAAGGACCCCCAGGTCCAGCACCCCCAGGCTCCGCACCCCCAGGCCCAGCACCCCAAGGCTTCGCACCCCCAAGCTCCGCACCCCCAGGCTCAGCACCCCCAGGCTCAACACCCTCAGACTCCGCACCCCTAGGCTCAGCACCCCGAGACCCCGCATCCGCACGCTCAGCACCCCTAGGAGCACCAAAGTCAACAGCTACCTCGAGAGGCTCGACTGCGTCTACCTGGGACACACCCGACGGGGCATGACCCTGAGGGGGGAGAGGGTCTACCGGGGGGGGACCTTGCGCAAGGAAGAGGGGCGGCTGGGGAAGGGGTGCACTGCGGTAGGGGAAGAGACGGCAGTAAGAAACCGACTCGTCAAAGGTGACGTCCTGGGAGGACAGAACACTGCGCGAGGTGGGGTTGTAAAACTGCCAGCCAGGCGCGTCAGGGGGGAAGCCAAGGAAGACGCAGGGAACAGCACGGGGGGACAGGCCCTGGAGGAATTGGAGGGAGGAACCGGGGGAGACTAGACACAAGGTAAAGGGAGGCCATGCCTCGGAGACGAGGCAAGGAGGGGTGACCAAGGCGGTGGTGCCAGAGGAGAGTCTGGTGGGACAGGAGACGACACGAGCAGGGAGCAGACTCAGGACCAGACCTGGACGCTGCAGCAAACACCTGACCCGACGCAGCTACCTGACCAGACTCAGCATTCGAAGAAGACTCAGTATTCAGTGTGTACAGGCTCGACCCCGTCTGACGGGTAAACGTGGCCAAGTGGCGGCCCGTCCGAGCACACGTACAGTGGGTCACTCGCTGACTCGCAGGAGTGAACAGGTCAACCCCCCCATCCTGTAGATCAGCTCCACTCACCAAGTTCGTGGAGAACGACTAGAGGTAGAGACCTGATAGGGTGCTAGAGGGGGCAGTCGGACACGGTAAGACAGTGGAGAAGTAGGCAAGGACAGGACCCCCTGAGGGGTCCGCCAGGGAGACCGCAACCGGCCGACTAAGCGGCGTAAGTGTGGTGCGGTCTCGGAAGAAGGAGCGGGAAGCACCCGAGTCAAGGGTGAAGGTGTGTATGGCCTGAGCCGACATGGTACCTGAGAGAGCAGACTCACCAGCACCTGAGGCATCAGACTCACTAGCACCTAGAGCAGCAGCCTCGCCAGCACCTAGAGCAGCAGCCTCAATGCCCGGGTCAGGCAGAACACACAGGTAACAGTCACCCTCATCACTAGTAGACACAACATACATGGCAGCAAGAATAGCACCATAATCCAGATCAAAGATAGCAACCCCCGACCTAAGCAGCTCTCGCCAGCGGGGGATCTCTGTGGCGTGAGGGAATTGGAGACGCCAAGCGTCCGTAAGGCGGCCGAAGCAGCGCTGGGTGGTGTGCGGGCCACCGCACAGCTCACCAGTGCGGTCGCCGGTATTCAGGACATAGGCACAAGGACCAGCACCCCCGCCCTGCTGACGCGCAACGTACCACTCACGAAGCTGCTGGGTGGGTGGGGTCTCACGAGTGCACTGCTACCGCTGGCGCTAACCACCACCGAAGCCGCTCCGCTGCGCAGAGCCACCCCGACCAGCTCCACCTCCGCCACCGCCACCTCCGCCACCGCCTCCACCGCCACCTCCTCCGCTCCCACCGCCACCGCCGTCGCCGCCTCCGCCTCCACCGCTGCCACCGAAGCCCCCACCCCCACCACCGCTCCCACCACCACCCCCACTCCCTCCGCCGCCTCCACCGCCACCTCCACCACCCCCACCATCCCCTCCAGCGTCCTTGCCCCCCTTGCCCTTGCCGGTGCGGCGTCTCCTGCTAGGGGCAGACGCCGCGCCGACCGACTCGGTGCCAACGAAGTTGACGGTAGCAGTAGAGGCAACAGAGGGCAAAAGGGGGGAGGGGGAGCACCCCTCAAAGAAGGGGGAACGAGGGTCACCACGAGAGGCTCCTACAGCGACTATACTCTTCTCAGCTGCCAGGAGGCGCTCCTTGAGGAGGTCAACGATGAGTGTGGTGGGGCAAACAGAGAGGAAGTGGTCCCTGACTGGACGAAGAGAGTCAGGGAGACGTGTGACTATGTAATAGAGGGTGATGTACATGGGGGGGGGGGGGGGGGGGGGGGGGTTCTTAGCGCAGAACTCAGCAGGAAGCGCAGCGCGGTAGCGGGTGTCACTAGTGCGAAGGTGCGTAATGAGGTCAGCGACTGTGGGAAAGGCGGCTAGGTCAGGGAACAGGTACGGCAGCATGAGGCGGCTAAGAGCAGCAGTGGCAGGGGAAGAGTAGCGTGCAATGACAGCGTCGTACAAGGTCTTAGCACTCTTGTACTGACTAAAGTGCGCGCGCTCAGTGGACGGCAAGTGACTACGCACAGCAAGACGGGCAGCACCATCGCGTGTGGCCCACTGTGAGCAAACAGTGTTGTCAGCATCGGTAGCAAGGGCAGGAGAGGCACCAGACGTGAGATCAAACAGTGAGAGACCGTCTTTCCTATCGCACTGTAGAAAAGGCTGCAGATCATCGACCCAAACCTCAAAGTCAACAGCCCGACCCTCGGCATCAAAGACGAGGACGCTAGGGGTAGCCATGACAGTAATGGCAGCAGTAGCAGCAGTGGCAGCAGGAGCAGCACTGGCAGCAGGGGCAGCGCAGCGCAGCGATACTCTTACCAGGGCAGAGAGCCGTAAGTGGTGGGGCAGAGCCGAGGCGCACCGGCAGGGACAGGCCGAGGCGCGCAGGTAGGGCCGAAGCGCACCGGTAGGGGCGGGCCGAGGCTCCCTGGCAGGGACAGGCCGAGGCGCGCCGGCAGGGCCGAGGCGCACCGGCAGCTGCAGTCTGCGGCGGCGGCGGCTGTGGCCTCGATCGAGGTGGCGGCGGCTGCTGCTGGTGGCGGCTGCGGCGGCTGCTGCGGCTGCTGCCCCGGGAGTGACGGCGGCGGCCGCTGCTGTCGGCTTCCGCTGCAGGGCCGGCTTCCTCTGCTGTCGGCTTCCGCTGACGGCAGTGGCGGCTTGCGCTGCAGGGGCGGCGGCGGCTGCTGCTGCTGCAGGGGCGGCGACGGCGGGCCGCGAAGGGCGGCTACGGGGCCGTGAAGGGCGGCGACGGGGCCGAGACAGGGCCGTGAGGGGCCGCAAAGGGTGGCGACGGGGCCGAGACGGGGCCGCGAGAGGCCACGAAGGGCGGCGACAGGGCCGCGGAGGGGCCGAGAGGGGCCTTGAAGGGCGGCGACGGGACCGTGAACAGCGGCGACGGGCCGCAAAGGGGCCGCGAGGGGCCGCGAAGGGCGACGCGAGGGCCGTAAGGGGCCGCGAAGGGCCTTGAGAGGAGCCGCTAAGGGCGGCGCGAAGGGGCCGCGAGGGGCCGTAAAAGGGGCCGCGAGGGGCCTAAAGAGGGCGCAACGGGCTGCTAAGGGCTAGTGACGCGACGGGCTGCTAAGGGCTAGGGACGCGACGGGAGGGAGGGCACACGGGGCGCGACTCGGGCAGGAGGGAAGCGCGCTCCGGGTAGGAAAAAAAATCGATTTTTCAGTGGTGGGCCCTAGGAAACGTTCCCACTAGGGAACCTGCTCTATAACATGTGAAGAAATGAGGAAATGAATTCACTAGGAAACAGGTGGGTACAAGTAGGAAAACCTAAAAGTGTTGTACCCCATATTGTCTACCCCACTACAGCCTACACAGACTATAGCATATAAGTTTGACAAGATTTTTGCTCGACACTTCTTTGTATCCCCCTCCTTGCCCTAATCATCAACATACCTTCATACTCTTCTAACATGGTATCAAGAGCTAGGATGTTCCTAGCCTAGGACGAATTTTTTTAGGGCCCACCGTTAAACCTTCCGTGTTCCTGCCCGAATCGCGTTCTCTGTTTTTTTCTGCCCGAAATGCGCCCTTAGGTGCATCGATTTTCGTTGCCCCGTGGCCCTGCCCTGTTCTGTCGCGCGTAGCCCGCGAGCAGCCTGTACAGCCCCCGTCTGGCCTTCGCGCTGCCCGTATAGCGTGCGCCACGCCCGTGCGCGGCCCGTATAGCCTACGTTAGGCCAACGCGCGGCCCGTACAGTCAGCGGCAGGGATTTTGTCAAACTTATATTTTATAGTCTGTGTAGGCTGTAGTGGGGTAGACAATATGGGGTACAACACTTTTAGGTTTTCCTACTTGTACCCACCTCTTTCCTAGTGCATTCATTCCTTGTTCTTTCACATGGTATAGAGCAGGTTCCCTAGTGAGAACGTTTCCTAGGGCCCACCGAAAATTCGAAAAAAAAAAAAATCCTGCCCGGAGCGCGCTTCACCCCTGCCCGAGTCGCGCCCCGCGTCCCCTGCCCTTAGTGGCCCCTTTACCGCTCCCTAGTGGCCCCTCTCACGGCCCCTCGTGGCCCCTTAGCCGCTCCCTAGCGGCCCCACTCACGGCCCCTCGCGGCCCCTTAGCCGCTCCCTCGCGGCCCCTCTCACGGCCCCTAGCCGCCCCTCTCACGGCCCCTCGCGGCCCCTCAGCGGTCGTTCACGGCCCCTCGCGGCCCCTCTCGCGGCCTCTCCGCGGCCGTTTGCGGCCCCTCGCGGCCCCTCCGCGGCCGTTCGCGGCCCCTCGCGGCCCCTCTCGCAGCCCCTCCGCGGCCGTTCGCGGCCCCTCGCGGCCCCTCTCCCGGCCCCTCGCGGCCCCTGTCACGGCCCCTCGCGGCCCTGTCGCGGCCCCTCGCGGCCCCTCGTGGCTCGTCGCGGCTTGTCGCGGCCCCTCCGCGGCTCCCTCGCGGCCCCGTTGCAGCTCCCTCGTCGCCCCTGCCCGCCGCGGCACCCTGGTGCAACCGCCACTGCAGCAGCCGCCCCTGGAGCAGCCGCCCCTGCAGCAGCCGCCCCTGGAGCAGCCGCCTTTGCAGCAGCCGCCCCTGGAGTAGCCGCAACTGCAGCAGCCGCCCCTACAGCAGCCGCCCCTACAGCAGCCGCAACTGCAGCAGCCGCCCCTGGAGCAGCCGCCCCTGCAGCAGCCGCCCCGAGAGCAGCCGCCACTGGAGCAACCGCCCCTGGAGCAGCCGCAACTGCAGCAGCTGCCCCTGGAGCAGCCGCCCCGAGAGCAGCCGCCAATGGAGCAGCCGCCCCTGGAGCAGCCGCCCCTGCAGCAGCCGCCCCGGGAGCAGCCGCCACTGGAGCAGCCGCCCCTGGAGCAGCCGCCCCTGCAACAGCCGCCCCTGGAGTAGCCGCCCCTGCAGCAGCCGCGGAGCCCTCGCCCTGCAGTGGTAGCGGCCTCGACGTTGCCGCCGTCGTACGCCTGCCCTTCTCGCCACTGGTGAGCACTGCCCTGCCTGTACTGCTGTCACTGCTTCTCTTGCTGCTAATGCTCTTTCTACTGCTACTGCTGCTCCTGGCGTGGCCAAATGCAGCTCCAGCGCCGTCCACGTGAGTCCCTCGCCCCCCAACAGCTTCGTGAGTGGTACGCTAGTTGGGGTTGTAGGGTGGCCGCGCTGCGACTACTGCTACTGCTTCTACTGCAGCAGCTGCTGGTGCTGCGGCTACCACTGCTCCTCCTGCTCCAGGCGGTGGCCAGATGCAGCTCCAGCGACGTGAGTCCCTCACGCCCCAGTAGCTTCGTGAGTGGTACGCTACTTGGGGTTGTTGGGGTGGCCGTAGTGGGAGTCATTCTGGCGTGAGGAGTTCGGGAGCTACTTGTAGTGGCCAGGTGCAGCTGCAGCGGAGTCCGCGCGCGGTCCTTTTGCCTCAGCAGCTTCGTGAGTGGTACGCTCAGCGTGGAGGGTCACGGAGTACTGCTCGCTGTCCGTACGTCATTCGCACTGGTGCTCGGACTGGTCAGCCCTGCGGGACGCTTGGTCACGCCGAGTCCCGCTGCTTCGCCCGTCTAAGCAACGTCTGGCGTACAGACTTTGGCGACGCCGCTGAGCTCCTCAACTGGGTGGAGCTGCTTAGGCAGAGGGTAGACATCTATGCTCTTGACTATGATGCTATCCTCACTGCCATGTATGCATTGCCTACTAGTGATGTGGGTGACTATTACCTGTGTGTTCCGCCTGACTCGGGCATTGAGGCTGCTACTCTAGGTGCTGGTGAGGCTGCTGCTCTAGGTGCTAGTGAGTCTGCTCCTCCAGGTGCTGGTGAGTCTGCTGCCCCAGGTACTGGTGAGTCTGCTCTCTCAGGTACCACGTCGTCTCAGGTGTTACACACCTTCACCCTTGACTCGGGTGCTTCCCGCTCCTTCTTTTGAGACCGCACCACACTCACGCCACTTCGTCGGCCGGTTGCAGTCTCCCTGGACAGCTGCTCTATTGCAGCGTTGGCACGCCGTCGACCTGCTGCGTTGGCAGGTCGCCCTTCTGCAGTGCTTGCGCGGCTTCTCTACGCAACGCTTGCAGGCGGTCGACCAAGCTGTGCTGGCGGTCGACCAGGCTAGCTGCAGGGTAGCTAGGTAAGTGATGTAGTCATTCTTGTCATTGTGAACTCAATCATTATGTAATTTCGACTTTGCTAGTGAAACTCTTGCCAACTTCTCCCGTGAATATGCAAGTGCTTAGGAACGCAAGCAAAGCTACAATCACTCTCAGTAGTTCGTGCCAACCCCTATAGTCTAGCTCACTACCTTTGTCGAGTGACTCTCCGCACGGTGCGGTGAGCGCGGATAGAACACGCGTGTGAGAGTACGACGGCTTATGCCAGCTATGCTTGCTTGCCTTTACTTTATTATGCTATTTCTAGCATAGGAAAATTATATGCATGCATGAATTGCTTGATTTCCTAGGCTAGGTGCTTTCCTATATTTTATTATAGTTATAGCACCGAGCTAGGTTGCGTGCACCGAATTCTGGCTTTTCGGTTGCCACCGAATTGCCTTCTACCGAATTCGGGAAGGATCTGTTCGGGACGCTTCGCGACCCGCGGAACCTTCGCGTAACACCTGGTTACGGGGCCTTGTGTCGAGCCTATATATAGCCTCGTATTTTACACAGGTGGTCGTTACAATTCACGTTCACTTTTCTGAGCTCGATCCTAGATCCTCACACTTGGTAATCAGAGCCCGTTTACACGCGAAGTTCTTTCGACCGCTACAAACCAATCTTAAAAAAACCGCGGGGGCGACGCAGTTAAACATCGATTTCGGGTACGTAAAACCGGTTCCGTGTTTTTTCGCTCCCCCTCGATTCAGTTTTTTCGGACGCGTTGATGTCAGGCATGGAAGGCCTGTCAGAACATATATAGCTTATACTTTTGTGTAGGCTATAGTGGGGTATCCCATATGGGGTACAACCCAATTAGGGTTAGTACTTGTATCCAATTCATTCATATTTCATTCATTCTCGTTCATACTTTCTCATGGTATCAAGCAGGTTCCCTCGTGGGAACTGTTCCTAGGGCCCACCAACTTTTTTTTTCTGCCCGGGGCGCGTCCTGCCCCCTGCCCGAAGCGCGCCTACCCTAGCGACCCGTCGCCCTTAGCGGCCCGTCGCCCTAACGGCCCGTCGCCCTAGCGGCCCGTCGCCCTAGTGGCCTGTCGCCCTAGCGGCCCTTAGCGGCCTGTCGCCCTAGCGCCGTCCTAGCCGCCCGTCGCCGCCCTTTCCGCAGCAGCCCACCGCCGCCCTAAGGCTGCCCGTCGCCGCCCTTTTCGCAGCGGCCCGCCGCCGCCCTAAGGCCGTCTGTCGCCGCCCTTTCCGCAGCGGCCCGCCGCCGCCCTAAGGCCGGCCATCGCCGCCCTTTCCGCAGCGGCCCGCCGCCGCCATAAGGCCGCCCGTCGCCGCCCTTTCCGCAGCGGCCCGCCGCCGCCCTAAGGCGGCCCGTCGTCGCCCTTCCCGCAGCGGCCCACTGCCGCCCTGAGGCGGCCCGTCGCCGCCCTTTCCGCAGCGGCCAGCCGCCGCCCTACGGCGGCCCGTCGCAGCCCTTTCCGCAGCGGCCCGCCGCCGCCCTAAGGCGGCCCGTCGCCGCCCTTCTCCCTGCGGCCCCATTGCCGCCCTACTAGCGGCCCGCCGCCGCTCGTCTCTGTTGCGGCCTCGCCGCCCGTCTCTACTGCGGCCTCGCCGCCCTCACCTACGGCCTCGCCGCCTTCTCCTGCGGCCTCTCCGCCTCTCACCTGCTGCAGCGCCACCCGCCACCACGACTGCCCGGCCCATCTCACCTAGCCGAGCAGCCGACCGCCGCGCCGCCCTGCAGCAGCATCGCCGAGCCGCCCGGGCACCGGAGCAGCCGGACAACTGAGCCACCGAGCCGCCCAGCAGCCGAGCCGCCCAGCCGCCGAGCAGCCGAGCCGCCCTGCAGCCGAGCCGCCTAGCCGCCCAGCAGCCGAGCCGCCCAGAAGCCGAGCCGCCCTACAGCCGAGCCGTCGAGCCGCCCAGCAGCCGAGCCGCCCTACAGCCGAGCCGCCGAGCCGCCCAGCAGCCGAGCCGCCCTCCTTCCGAGCGGCCCAGTCTGGTGAGCACAGCGTCTCTTTCCATGCACTGCCCTCACCCTACTGTCTGCAGTGCTAGTCTACTATTGTCATGGCTACCCCTAGTGTCCTCGCTTTTGACGGTGAGGGTCGGGCCATTGACTTTGAGGTCTGGGTAGATGACTTGTAGCTGTTCTTACAGTGCGATAGGGCAGACGGCCTCTCTCTCTTTGACCTTACCTCTGGAGCTTCCCCTACCCTTGCTGCTGATGCTGATGCCACTGTTCGTTC